GGGGAAGTTAATGCTGTACGTTTCTCCCATTCTTTTTTTGTCTGGGCGGTGTTGGAAAGGATGAGCGAACGGGCCCAGGGTTCCTTTGACATAGAGCCTTTGCTGGTATGAGCTTGACTAACATCATTGGCTTGAATTGCAGATGTGGCGCCCCAGCGGTCACCCCGGGTTCTGGTATATGGGCGGGAATTTGGCGCTGTGTCGCGTGTACTCCAAGTTTCTAGCGTTGCAGATCAAGGCCGTGGAGGCTGGGTTGGTGGAGGGGCAGCAGGCGCAGTCTAAGCTGTAGCGGTCATTGCTGCACATAGACAACCAGTTTAGACATAAAAGGGCAGCTTGTGACTAACTAGAGGATTACCGAAGCTGAGACCTCTCAAGCCACAGCTAGGTACACTTATGCTACGGAGCCTCAGGTCAGAGATGAACTCATCATTCATACACCTCTCCCTTAGGAGAGGGACAGACAGTGAAATTCTACTATATACCAAGTACCACCTCTCCGTTCCACCCAAAAGAATCATGACATAGATACATTAAACACACAAAGCCGCTGAAACACATATCATAAAAAATAATAATAAACCCATGAGTCTTGAGAATCATATCCAGAAGCGTCGTAGCTCATACTCGGACCCTTCATTTATACACAATCAATCTCTCGCCTGTTCCCCATCATCGATGATCATCTCGACATCCTTGATGGGATGGAGCAGCATCGGGGGAAGACACATGCGGCCCTCGCCGGCCAGCTCCTCCTGCTCGCCGCCGTCGTTATCGACCTTGAAGCCCAGCCAGCGGCGCCAGAGGTTCGGCGCGAAGCCGGCCGAGTAGAACCAGGTGGTGCCGCGGAAGTTGTGCTCGCGGTCGCCGAAGACGGAGGTGCGGGCGCCGCCGGAGGCGCCGTTGCGGCCGGCGTTGAAGACCGAGTCGACGTACTTGGTGGGCCAGCGGCGGTCGAGGTAGAGGGCGTGGGGGACGGAGACGGCCTTGAAACCGTGCTGGAGGGCCGTGGAGGCGGGCCACATCTCCGAGAACATGGTGTGGTGCTTGCGGACGGTCTCCTGGTGCATGGTGTGCAGCAGCTTGTGGGACATGCGGGAGGCGGTGATGATGGCCGTGCGGCGCGGGGGCATCGTGCCGGCGGACCGGTCGTAGCCGGTCACGTCGTCGCGGAGTGCCCAGGTCGTGCCCTCGGGGTCGAAGAGAGGGTTGAACACGATGAGGTCCGCCTCCTCGCCGACGCCCCACTCGTAGCGGTCCTTTTCCATCGTGGTGGGCGGGATCCCCTCGCCTTCGACCTCGAGGATATCCGGCTCCGCGGGCCGCTCGGGGCCCCAGACGGACTTGTCGCCTTGCTGATGCAGGGCGTGCTTTTCAGCTGCTGACTTGTCTTGGCCGGGCTTTGGTGCACTCCACATGTTGTTCGGACTGTTGGTGCCGATCTCGGTCTGCACGCGCACCATCTGCCGGAAGTCCTCCCACGTCCCTTGGACGGACGGGATGTAGAAACGCGCATTTCGTTCCCAGAGACCCTTGCGGGGCTGTTCTCGCGCCCAGTTGACGACCTTGTCGAAAAGGTGATACCAGTGTCCTGTGTATCGGGCATCCATCTCCCAGTTCCAATAATAGTCGTATTCCGGATGCTGGTACGCAAAGTACTGCATGGGCATGTGGGTGCTGCGATAGACACCGTGCACAGAGAGTCCGCTAGCCCACGTCTCCTCCAGACCAGGGTACATGAGCGCCATTTGCCGCTCAGACCAAAGCGTCGCCATACCACGGAACTCGGCCGGCAAGGCATCTGTGAGCACACGCTCATATGTCTCATCATCAGCCCAGATCTGAAGATTCTCATCTTTGACTTGGACCAAAAAGTGGATTGCATACTCGCCGCCGGACTGCAGGGACAATTCCGAGATCAGCGAACGTAAGTACAGGATGTCATCAGGACTATAGTGGTAGTCGTGCCAGGTGCGCAAAACAAACGCAGTCCGGGGCAGCCGTTCATGTTCAGACTGTTCTTGCTGATCGTTTTCCGGGGAAGGCGAAGTCGTTGCGGCATCATCCAAGGTCGGAACTCCGATCGGCATGGAGATAAAGCGGTTGAGACGCGGTGCAGGGAGCTCTTTGAAGCGATGGCTGTTGGTAGCCATGCATCGGTTTTGAGCAGCAGCCCAATCCACTTTCCGGAAATCCACCGGTGGAAAATCCTCCCAGACACGCTCAGCGCCCTCGCGTTCTCCTTCGAGGCCTGCACCGATTCCACCTTTTCGGACACTGTAGCCCATCCCATATGGCCCAAGGCGGCCAAATCGATCGAAGCAAACGTCATCCTTGATGCCAAGCAATTCATTGGAGCCTATTACCGGGTCAGGGAACCCGCGAGGCACGCCAGGGTAATGCTGAACCAAAGGAATCCGCATAGTCCCATCCTCATCTAGAAAGCATTCGTGTTTCTCTCCATACTTGGCGATGTACTCTGGGGAGGCGTAGTCAGGGTACGGGTTGAAGACCAAGCTTGAAAAGGGTACGGTTTGGTCGCGCTTTGAGATGCTGGTATCGTTCTGGGAGCCAGTGTTGCCAGCCTCCATCGCTTCCAAGCTGTCGTTAGGATATTCGGGTACATTTTCTGTGCGCGTGACCAAGGTTCGGATGCCTCCATGATAGCGCTTGAGAAAGGGAAAGCTTTCCCAAGCGGGCGGCTTGGAACTGGGCTTGGGTAGCGGGACATTGACTCGACTGACAGTGGAGAGAAATGTGAACCGGAACAGAACGATGATGAAAAGCACGAGGAATGAAAGCAGGCCCATGCAAAGCCATCGCATGACTCGATGGGGGACGCGATAGCCCAATCCGATACGAGGAGGCCGGCGCGCCGGCGCATCACTCAGCATAGGGCGAAACGAAGAAGCGGAGGAAGAGCTGGTGGCATCATCCTCAGTATCCGTATCAGAATCATATGAACTCTGGCTATATTGGCGAAAGTGATGTTTAGGGCGTGCAGGTTGTTTCTCGATATCCACCATCACATTGCGATTTTTCTTTGAGTACCGTGCATGAGCCGTTTTCGAGGCTGGCTGCCTTTTGGCTCGAATGGGCATGGTGGACACAGCATGAAACGGTGGGCGTTAACGACGTCAGAGGAATGCGCACCGTGCAGGACGATCGATTGAACGGCGTCAGCGATCCGAGGAATGGAAGGGGCAAGATTCGACAGCTATCAGGTTGTGTCAAGGTTAGTGAGCGATTGAATCATACATGTCTGACAACTGAGAACCCACATGTCTACCTGTTCTTGAGCAGTGTCAGAACGGTGCGCCCGAAAGTGGGTGACTGATCGTTGTCCACCGATCTATAGTCACAGATTCCCGAAGGGGACGTGGGAACAATTAAAAACAAAAGCACTCAAGTCAAGTCCAACTGCCCGGGACTCGGATCGAGCCGATCAATAACAATTGATCAGAACGAGAATTTTGAGACAATTCAACGCTCTCAGATTGATTGTCAACAAAACACAAGGCTGCACAGTGGTACGGAGTATATGGCGTCGTGTTTGGCAGATCGGCGCCTGTCGTTGCCCAAGAGACGACAGCCAGCGCTTGCTGCACTAGGCGGGCCTTGATTGTCTTGGCGGAGGCATCTCTATAACTTGACTCTGACAAGATTGAGATGAGTTCCGCTTTGAACGAGGATCGATCTTAGTCGCAGGGCTTCTCTTCATGAGTGTAGAAGGATAGAAGCAAACATGGAGTAAACGATCAACGCTGCATAGCTGTGAAAGCAAGTATGAAGTTCCATGGTACGGGGAGTTCCAACAAGTCAAGAACTGGAGCTGTGTTCGGTCGACACGGACACAGACTGGGCTCGGCTCGACCTTTCTTGTCCACATCAGGATTAGTGCCTTTGCGTCAATGCGCTAAGCTTCTCTGGGACAATCCTAGCCTGAGGCACTTTCAGGCATTCAGCAGTGTGCGAGCAAGCAGCAGCAAGCTTCCAGTCGCTCGTGTAAGTTAGGCTTTTACTAAGTATTGTACTGTACAAATTCCACATACTCCACTCAACTCAAAGGAAAGGTCACACGATAGAGAAAACTCAAGTAGCAGAGTCACCTGCGCAGTGTACTAAGTATGTCTCTGACCAGAAGCAGGTAGAGCTCTTTTCACAGGGATTTGAATCCCAACTGAATCCCCAAGGCGAGCGTCAGGCACTTTCGGGGAAGCAGGAGGAAAACCCGTTATCTGCAACCATCAAGTGCGGTGATGTCACTGATAATTCCGACCTCACTTCCCCAAAACGGCTCCCGTCTCACAATCCTCTCTTTTCCACAACTGAGTCTAATCCTGCCTTCAAGGTTAATGGCATGACCTCCAAGGACCCGGCACTTGGAATGAGAGAACCACCACCGTGCTCCAGGGCCCACAATTACCCCGGTTCTGATGAGAAGGACTCCACTTCTCGCTGGGCGACGCCTCCTAGATGCCCAGAAACAAGAGCGAGCGCCCCAACACCTGCACGACACCTCCCACACCACACCTCGTGTTGCATTCGAATTCCTGCGACAGGGAAGAGAAAGGAGATTCTTTGACGAAACAGCTCATCCGCTGACAGCTTCGGCATACCGTGGCTTTGGGGAGGCCGACGCTTTCCGTCCTTCTTATCCTCCGAGCCTCTTGGGTTTTCTTGTTCGAAGAGGTTACTTCGACATGTAGTCATTGCTGCTTCATCCGCTTACCTTAGCTTCTTTTCGCCGGCATACATCACACTGACGACGGTACCTAGTACTTCCTGCCTTCCTTTTCTTCCATCCACACAAACTCAACCACACCACGCGCAATAGCCGAGCCATTGATGAGCAGCAGAAAGCAATCCCCTCCCTTCAATTCCTGTATGAATCACATTCTGGACTGCGGATGATTAGTTGCGGTGTGATGCAACTGTGACCGTTATTGGTCCACCTGGCTGCATTCAACAGTGCATATCCACCTTTTGCAGTAGAGAAATCAATTAAAAACTATCGTGGCAGCATGAGACCTGCCGGTACCTACTGACTACTGAGTACACTAACCCCCTCAGTACCGCGCCTTCATTCCAGCCAGTCCAGTGTGCCTTTCTCTTTGTCGTATTTGTGGAGAAGAAAGAGAGCTGAGCTGGGTCACGATATGCCACCCACCTTGCTCCACCCCCTGGAGGGCAGAGTATAAAAACGAGCTTACCGGCCCTCTGGTGCCCCGATTCCCCCGGGGGGAACACAGTGAATAGCGCTGAGCTCTGCAGCGCATTGAGATAGATGATCGAGTATTGAGCCCATCCTCTCCCTCAAACCATCATCGCAGCTTCCTCCCTGACTCACCTCGTATCGAGACCAATCAACAAAAAAAGAAAGACATCATGGTACGCACGCCTTGCACCCGCACCCATGCCCTTTCCCCCGACCCACACATAATAGCATAAACCCAGTAGAACAATCACTGACAAGTCTCCCATTATCAGACACCATCAGTAGCAGCAGCAGCAGCATCGAACCTAGCCCCAGCCCTCCTCAGCCACCACCTCCACCCGCACCACCACCTAATCTTCACCCTCGACACCACCACAACAACAACGTGCCTGCTCCTCCTCCTGCCCACCCTATACCTCCTCCACACGATCCGCAAAGACTACCATGCCTTCCTCGCCCTCGGACCGGGAGGCACCCCCTCAACGCCAGCAGGCTACCTCCGCATCTGCATCCTGCGCCTCTTCATCCTGCGCAACCCGTTGCTAGCGCCCACAATACCACCCTGCGTACAACCGCAACAAGGCCTCCTCAGCCCCTCGCACCTGCCGCCGCGCTCCGGCCCGCGCCCCGTCGTCACAGGAATCGCACCGCAACGCCAAACGACCCAGAAAAGCGACGCGGCGATCTACGAAACCCTGTCCTCCGAGATCCACCGCCTGGTCGCCCAGCACCCGGACACGCTATACACGGGCACCTCGTGCTTTGAGAAGTACAGCACGGGGATGTTCTGCGCGGGGAATGGCAACGGGGGCGCCAACGCTGCCTGTGGTGGTAACGACAGCACCACCACCCTCACAAATCCAACCAACATTTCCAACACCAACACCACCGCACCAACCCTCAAAGTAGCCAACACCAACGGCGGCAGCAACAACAACAGCCACCAACAAGAACAACGCCGCCACCGCCTCACCTGCAACGGGGAGGTGTGTCACGCCCACCCGAGCGACGGCAGCCTGCACCTGACGCTGCACCCGGCGGACGTGAAGCTGGTGCTGGAGCGCGGCTGGGGCCAGCGGCACCCACTGGCCCGCGACAGCTGGTGGTGGTGGCTGCGCATCGTGCCGCCCGGGTTCGTGATGGTGTATGCGCCCCGCGACGCGGAGGAGCTGGAGTGCGTGCTCGAGATCATCCGGGCGGCGGCGTGGTGGGTGAGTGGGACGGAGTTGCGGCGGTGAAAAAGCTTTGCTTTTCAGGAAGTAGCTTAGAAGATGCCGCGGGGTGGTGAGACGTGGTGATGCCCCAGGGGGAAGGCTTGCGGGGTGAGGTTAGTATATGGTCGGGTGGGTGTAGTGCTTACGAATGGTGGCGGTGGTAGTGGTGGTAGTTGAGCAACTGAAAGGATTTTCGGGGTTTAGTGCTTAATATTATCGTCCCCGCCGCCGTCATCACCGGGATGTGATTCTATCATATTTTAGTCATCGGACGGAAAGAGCAGATGATGGAAATGACGATGGAAAGTACAGGCGGGTGGAGGATTGCTTGCACTTACGAGGTCCTAGTCGATCTCACGGCAGCCAGATCATAGAGGTGCGAGGTGCAAGGTGCAAAGTGAGAGTGCTAGCGCTGGCGTTGGACGGTCCTGGATATCACGCTGCATATATTCAAGTTAAGTTGTAGATAAGCTTCAACGGGCTAGCAAGAGTTCAAATCCATCATATTGATTTCTGTTTTTGTCACTCACGTGCGTCGGCTCTTTACATGTTGCAAGTGCAGCCTCTTCCTGCGGTGATAATGAGATACATTGATTGAACCGAGTCGAGATTGCTCCCAGTGCGACCTATGAGGTTACACATCTCATCGCAGGAAGGCCACACCCACAGAAAAGTCGTAGAGAGAGATCATCGTTGTTGTCCACACCGAAATATTGATATCGAGAGAGAAAGAGGAAGAAGACAAAAAAAAGTAAAAAGCTAATAGCATAGAGGAATGAAGAGCCGTAAGAGAACATACAAGAACCACCAAAGTAGCATTTCCCTTTCCACACTAGACACGAGGTGTCTTTGTCGGCCCCGGTTTCTCTCCCCTTGTTTCCAGTCATGTCATTCGCAACTGTCCCCATCACACGCTTCCAGGTATACCTCCAATCGTTATATCCATTTAATCGCGGTTGGTTTTCCGCAGCGTCTCGGCGAGCCACTCCAGACCCTCGTACAGACCATCACCAGTCGTGGCGCAGGTGGATTGGATGAACTAAATAGGTCAAGGGTCAGCAAGCGAGCACCAACACCTGAGGCACCGAGATGACGTGATTTCCAAACTTACCCAGGGGCGGCGAGTGAGACTTTGCAGACCGAGCTGCTGGGTGATTTCGGCAGGGCTCATGGCGTTCTGAGAGATAAAACCGTCAATATCATTATTCCTCAACTCGTAAGCGTGGGAGCACATACGGGCAAATCTTGCTTGTTGGCGAAGACCAGGAGCAGGGCGTCACGGAGTTCATCCTCGTTCAACATGCGCTGCAACTCTTCGCGGGCCTCGACAATACGATCCCGATCGTTGCTGTCGACGACGAAAATGATACCCTGGGTGTTCTGGAAGTAGTGTCTCCAGAGAGGACGGATCTTGTCCTGACCACCGACATCCCAGACGGTGAACTGAATGTTCTTGTATTCGACGGTCTCGACGTTGAAGCCTGTATGAACAATTCCCAAAATGTGTCAGCGAAACCAACTCGGTATCGACCCCATGCGCTGGGTGAGCAGAGACATCATGCTCTCGAGACGACAGTCGAATAGGGTGACTGACCGATGGTGGGGATGGTGGTAACGATTTCACCGAGCTTGAGCTTGTACAAGATGGTGGTCTTTCCGGCAGCGTCGAGACCGACCATCAGAATTCGCATCTCCTTGCGTCCCCATAGTCTGTCGAAAATCTTGGAGAAAGTGAGACCCATGATGGCGGTGGTGTATCTTCAGGGTTCTAGATGGTGAGGGCGGAGGATGTTAGATGCGACCAGACAGGACAAAGTGTAAGAATGCGAACACGATCGCGGGAGTGCCGTGCTGTTCAATCACGGGTCGGGTGATGAGGGGCTGAAGAGGTATATATGAGAGCGAGCAGGACAGTGGTATGACGAAGGGGAAATAAGAGGTGGACGACAACGAGGGGTGGAAGTCGTCAGGTTAAGGTAGTCACGCCGGGGAAACACGGCGGGCAAGACAAATCAGGGGGAGTGGAATTAGAGGGAGGCGAAAGAAACAGACACAAAGACCAGAGCCAGCCTGATCAGGGACGTGGGGGGAGGGGCAGATAGAAAAGAGACACGACGACAACTTGACCAAGCAGACATTAACAAGTTAACATAAAGCGAGATGTACTTACCGATGTGATTTGAAAATGGGAGGGAAAGAGGGAGGGAGATTAGGAATGGGCGTGGATACAGAGAGAGGGGGGTGGGAATGGGTGTGGGAACGAGACCAGACAGAGATAGAGACAGAGAGGCACTAAGAGACCAGCGACCGCCCGACTGGAAACAGCCAGACAAGACGGACAGACAAGCAGGTCAGGTCAGGTCAGGTCAGGTTCGGGTCTGTTATGGAGCAGCCGGTCTGTTTGTTGGTTCGGTCGAGGGGTGGACGGTGGAGGAAATTTTGGGTGAGCACAACGGCCAGTGACCAGTGAAGTGACCAGTGACCAGGTCGAGAAGTTCAGCCGCCGGCGTAGCTTCCGTCACTAACTGAAACCGGCCAAAAACAATCAATCAGATACTTACCGACTATTTCCTGTACGTACTGTATGTACAGTATCTGGAGCAAGTTGACAATGAAACAGTATACTCAGAGTACTATATTTTCATAAAGATAATAGATGTCAATCGGTACGAATTGATACTTTTTAATTTTTTTTTCTCAACTATTTTACTATTCACATACAACCTGGCGAGCCGTTACAGAACCCTGGCACTATTGAAGATCAGTTTCTGCCTGGCCACCAGAAGAGGACACGGTGTTTCCCGTTCGTCGACCCTTACCAACTTACGCGGTAATGTTACCGCCCCTCATACAGTCTTGACCCGCAAGTTCGTCCATTAGTGTTCTATACGATACGGAGTACAGTACAGTACAGCATTATCAACTTCCGTCGTCTCAAGACAAGAACTAACTTAGGTGGCTATCAATGACCTTCTTTCTAGACCAAAGAAGACAAGACCAGATAATGAGTGTACTGTGTACTTTCATATTCGAACAAACCTCCTCCCTCCCCTTTGCTTTTCCTCTATCCCAGGCACCAAGCCCCAATTCATAATCGCTGATAGGCCTTCCCCCCCCCGACCACCTTTTCGCCGTCCCACTGGATCGCCATCGGTGGCACTAACTATGGAGGATGAATAATGTGCAAGGGAGAGAGGGGCGCTCAAACCTGCCCTCGTGCCTCTCTTGCAGCAGAAGTCGAACACCCGGTTCGAAGATAACTAAGAATAGCAAAGATGTTCGAGATTCTCTGAGGGTAGCAACAATGGGAGCAACATCAAGTACTCGTATCTGTGCACCTTTCAGGTCAAGCAAGAGCCAGCATCCACTACAAGGTCGATTGGCCCCATTGCAATTAAACATCTCGGCATCTCTCCCATTTTCAAATCTCGGAACTCACAGGGACCACTTCCGCAATTAAAAAATACGCGTCATCTAATTATTTCAATCCCCGCCAGAGGTTTGCTGCATGCCTTCTCAGATCCATGTTTGAGGACCGTGGGAAGATGATCGCTCCTCGATTGCTTTCAGGTCCTGAACAGATAAGCTGGGGCTCGTTTGCTGCTGACGGCAATGTGGAGAGGTAGGAAGCCTATGCGTCATCCCAAGGCGCGGGTTATCAACGGTCGACGGTACACAGTCCGCCATGTGGCAGAATCACTCTCTATGGACCCTGATTTTACATGGGGCTGATCAAGTCGAATCGGGTTCCATCCTATGTCCGAGTTCTTTCTCGGTATATTGGAGGGTATTTATTCTAGACCAGTCACATTCCAGCTTACAGGCAGCCCTAAATGTCAGCGAGCACGATGTCCCTCAGCTGAAGGTTTCATATTGTACAGTACATATCAATCTTCATCAATCATGGCCTCTTGACTTGTCCATATCCTTGGAGATGGGTGATGTGGCTTCAAGTATCTCGTATATCTTTGCGACTGTGTGAGATTTTGCTTCGAGATACCCGGAAGAACTTCTGGAACAACGACTCGTAGATCGGTCTACCTTCCACGGTGTCACTGACATACCCGAAGAAGACAAGTGACACAAAGGACAGGAACATGATAACGCTGAAGCTGGCCCAGTACTGCGTGATTGTGTATTCGCCCTTGACATTTTGAAGTTCCGTTGAAAAGTACCCCGTCATCAAGCTAACAGGTAGGAATAGGATCGTCACTTTCGCCAAAAGGATAGTGATCCTGGTCAGCTTCTCCACAGCCTGCGAATCCTTGAGCGCAATCAAGTTGAAATTCTATCGCCAAAAGTCAGCTTTCACTGGAGTCATGTCTAGAGATAAATTCGAATCATACCAAGAATGTCAGATTCTCTTTCTCTGTCAAGCAGGTCTCAATCTCAGAGAGACAATACAGCTTGATGCGGTCAACCAGCCTCTCGAACCGAGCCACAGCTGCGGAGCTCAAAGGTACCCCGACCGAATCATCCGGGATGTTTGAAAGACTAAAGCTGTTCTGCATGGATTGCTGTTGAGCATCGTCGGTGTCGTTTTCTCCGAATGTTTGTCCGAGCGCCAGTTGGGGGTAATTATAGCGTGCTTTATCATGAAGTGATCGCTGTCGTTGAAGAATGCGCATCATGATGAGCTCGTAGCTCTGGTAGAGACGTTTGAGAACTGCCAATCGCCTTCCCAGCCAATGCAATTCGTCAATCAGGTCCACGACCGGCTTGGCTAACATGTTTTGCCTCTGCCTCGAGATGTCAATACTGTAAAACGCTGCGGGGAGGTAACACGTTCACCACAACGACTGAGGGGGAACATTGGACCACATACCAGCCGGTCTAGAGCCACGCCATACTTATGCTCACGTTTCGCCACAAGTGCATAAGATGACACCCAGTCATCGAAGATGTAGTAGAAAAGGAGACTCGGGCCGTCTTCTTGTCTGATGCTTGTCTGTTCCGGGCCCGCCTCAGAAGACGGTCGTACCCGGATTGTCACCAGGGACTCACTTTCTGAGGAGGCGGGATGGTGTTTAGAGACCCCGGAGAAGATAAGTTGCAGATTCCGGCGAACCACGCCAAGGACAGCCTTGACCTCTTTCTCCGACGGGCCTGAGAAGCCGGGGAATGGATTCTCTTGCATGTTTATGACAGTCCCTGCACAACTCATTACTAAAAGTCTAGCAATCAGGGAGTTTTTTCTTACCATCATCGCATAAAAGTAACCAGGACCACAACCGTCTACCAGCTGGTAAATCTTTCCCATTGTCCATCTCATGACCCGGGATTACATAGATCGCATTGTAACCGACGCAAGTATCTGTGATCCGTGAGAATTCCGGCTTCAACAGCTCAATATAGTTGGACTTACACCTTGGCCCATAATCCACGGAACAAAAGTGCCATATCTGGTCAATGACGTGAGCAAAAGTGAGACCCCTGAACGATGCCAGTGCGCTAATCTCTTCGGGATTAGTCAAATTTCTGAGTACATTGCCTTCTTCGAGGTCTTTCATTCGACTTGAGGGCAACCGATCGCGGTGTCTAGAGTAGCTGATCCGTGAAGGCCCAGCAGAGACCGGAGGTTTTGATGGAGACTCGACTGGGTCTGTGCACATCATGCCCTGTAGCCGTTCCGATACACCATAATGACTAGTGATGGACTGAGAACGTCAGTGGAGACATGGTGATCCATCGAAGACTATGCTAACCTTTATCAAGTCCTTTTGCTGCTCGGGGGCCCATATATTACTGGTGAAACTCACTGAGCATGTCTCTATTCGTGTTGAACAATGCTTATACTTACATCCACCGAGTACCATAACATTTTGGCTTCTAAGCAACATCCACATTCAGTCTTCTTCAGATAGCTTCAAGCTACCGATAATAACATACTGGCTTGCGCAGCAGCAGCGCTATCTCTTCTTGGTCCAAGTTCACAGCACACCATGCATCTTCATTGCCGAAGTCGAGCACAAAGTTTCTCGCTTGAGGGTCTTGCAGAAGAGCCCGGTAGTGCTTCAGGTTGCCGGCATCATCAATATCGCGAAACTTATCTTGAATACTTGGTTTCTGAGTAAAACTGGAATAATAATCTTGAGGCGTGTGGCCACTGCTGGATGTCGTAGGCTCGGACATTTCTTGTTCAAGCCAGCAATAGGCAGTTGCGAGATCGTATACTGGACACTAAGAGATAGGTAATGATAATTCAGAAGCCGAACGAGGCACAGGGATGTATAGTAGGTAGCAGCAGCCAGCAATTGCTCGGATAGTTTCTCGCAGCTCCAGTGTCGCGCAGATCAAGGCGACTGACTGGGTACTTATGCGCTGAGACAACAGTCGCTTGCCGCCCAGCGCGGGCGCCAGAGCACTGCAGCTGACTCGTCCGCAACACGAGGGGTATGTTGACAAGCCCCCGCCAAGGATCCGGGGGTGTGTCTGGAGGCGGGCGCGTATCGATGGTGGTGGGTGCCGAAAGGTATCATATGCTCGATTTTCGTTGTAGTGAAGATCTGCAACCCAGTTATGACTAGGTAGAATGCTTGTCAGAGATTAAGTCAGGTCAAATTCGTGGTGGTACTAAATTAAGCGAGAACTGCTGGTTGAGTAGCCAGGATTTCGCAGGTATCGACTGAGACTTCGTTCATATTGACGTCGAAGAGCTGTCAGCATATAATCCGAGGGCTGCTCATTATTTTGGTATAGAGCGGTGGTGCTATTAGGCAAGATTGAGAATCTCATTATATATACCATTTTCCAACATACATAAGCGATCCAATTCACTTGCTGAACTTGAATATGAGGCATAATACAAGGGGATAAGGAACAGAGATATAAACTCTTCCCCTGATGCATTCCATCTAGAAAGATATCATTGGCCTTTTTATCGATGAGGCTATATTTGACTGTCTACTAGCCCAGACAGCCCTCCCACGGCCAGGGACAAAGAGAGGAGGAGCCTGGGTGTAAGGTACCCCATAGCTACCCCGTTTTGGTTAGTTGTACCGGGCCGTCACGCGAACCGCGGGAATTCTACCAGACTGCAGTCCAGTATCCAGTACAAGTATCCACGCACCACATCAGATCCACCGGTCACAAGTACCGACATAACGACATGTTTTGGGCAGAGGAGTCCTCAGTTGACTCTTGAAGGCATGGTGATCATATCCAGCCGACTTCGTTTCGAGAAGGATATGATCTTCATCCGAAGTAATCCATTTTAAACGTCTCTAGCGGATTTATTGGCGACCATCTTTAAAAATGGCACATCAAGCAGCTACGGGGAAACCCGCTCGCTTGGCTACGTCATGTACTGAATGTCAGCGTCGAAAGCAGAAGGCAAGCAACACAAGCCAGCCTTAATCCGGTATAATACTTTCACAAGCATAATCCTTCTGACTGCTACACTGTACAGTGTAGTCGTGATTGGCCATGCAACCATTGTCAAGCAAGAAGAGTGGCTCATCTATGCAAATTCCCCCCCAAGAAGACGCTCAAAGTGACCAGATCCATGACTAACAATGCAAGGTCAGCTATAGACAGCACCTTTAGCTTTATACAAGTCCCTAATACCTGCTTCAGTATAGACACACCACAGACAACTTCCGTAGAGTCGAATCCCGAAGTATCAAGTTCTAGTACGATCACGGCAATTACCAACGACAATGCTTTTCGTATGCTCGGATACCTTCGATAGCGAGGTAGGGACGCCTCAGGGTGCTGAGAGATATGTAAGGCTAATGTAATATGGAATTGAGTCGTCCATCTACTGACTGTTGATTTGACAGCAATCTGCAGCAATTTCTCCGGGTCCCTGTAGCACTATTCAGCCGGAGATGGGGAAAGCTATCCGTTTAGTCCCTCCAAAACCATACACAGGTAAACCAACCAACTCACGATAATCCTGCGCAATCACCCATTCATATTCAGACATCCTGGTACAGCACTTTCTCAGTGAGATCAATCCGCATTACTATTGTCTCTACCCGCCTACATTCTCGCACGACTATGCTACATGGTGGTCTGGCAAGGCGGCGGGTCAAGCGTTGACTCCTGAGTTTACTTGTCTGCTCTTACGCATATGCGCCTGCGCAACCTTATGTCTGGACTTTGATGCTCGACAGAAGCTGGAGACGGAGCTCGGGGAGAACGCCCAGAATATGGCTGAACAGTATCATCATACTGCCAAACAGCTTAGCAGCACCATTGCACCCGGTAAAGGCGGGCTGACTCAAGTGCAACAACTGTTCCTCAATGCAGTTTACTACAAAAGTGAAGCACAATTTGTTGAGGCATGGCATGCCCTGGGCGCTGCGATCCACCAAGCACAGGAATTAGGTGAATACAGGTACTCCAAGATTTGTGATGTACAGGCTGACTTTTGAACCTTGAAGGCATGCACAAGAGTTCAGCCAAGGCGATCGTCTCAGAGTTCGAACGCGAAATGAGAAGGCGAATTTGGTGCATATCGTATACTTGGGATTGGTAAGCTCGTGCTGGTTGGTCGTTAATAATTGTGGTACTGATAAAGCTAGGCAAATGTCTCTATTATTATCGCGACCATTCATCATCAACAGCAACTACTGCTCTTTTGAAGTGCCCAACCTACGCCTCGAGAGCCCTGATCCCGAGGAGTTCGGGCTTTCGCCAGTCGCTCACATGACCTTCCAATGTCAACCCGGACAGACTATCTCCAAGATACCCGGTGTGATGGGTGGCATATTGTCCCCCGCACAGGCCATTACCATCCAACGAGAGACTGAGAAGTGATTTCATAACCTCCCCGCGCCATACAGACCAAAAAACCCCGACACTTGCTGGGATCAGTCTCACAAACACGTGGCGGTGCATCGGCATCAGCTACATGCAATCGGGTATATGGTAATGCTTCTGCCTTTGAAGCCATGCCTTACAACGGCTGTCGATCAAGACCAACCCAGCATTGAGAGGAGTCCTCGACCGACTGCTGTCGACTGCGCACTGAAGCTTTTGGAATCATCGCAGCAGATGCTAGCCTTTATGCTACCTGCAAACGCCAAGTTCCACTACGCCCCCTTCTTTATCTTTGACACAGCAGCGTTCCTATGCTCTGCAATTATCCATGATCACAACAGCACTCTCCCCGGCCGAGACAAGATGATCGAAGCGATTTCGACAGCTCTCGAAGCGCTGGAACAGATATCCGAGAACACAAAGACCGGTGCCATCTGCTATGCAGTACTTAACAGGCTTGCGAGTAGTATGAATCTCACTGAAGAGGAGAAGGCGGCCATATTCTCCAGATCGTCGGACGGATCCCTCGAAGGACCCAGTACACCTCCTTCGGCATCTCTAGGATCTACTGCATATCTTGATGCCACCTCTGCTTCCACGGATCTGGATTTGCCGTGGAGCTCTATAGAAGCTGGCATCAACTATTCGTTACCTTTGGGATTGAGTCCCTCGGCAGCAGGGACCGGCGATTTTGCCGAGAGGGACGGTCTTTCCAGCATCGATATGTGCGAATTGGGCCAAATACGGGACTGGGGTAATCTTGACCTGAACCTGCAATGGCCCCCTGCTACCTAGGGTATGGCTTTTGCCTGGTGCACGGTGTCATGTCTTGACTATACTGTCTTGACCGTAGGAGAGGAGATGGAAGGGGCGAGATATGGAATTAGTTGTTCGACATGATGGTTGCAAGGAGTCAAGAGTCTACCGAAAGCTACTCACTTGTTTTGGTAAGGTCATAGAGCATATCTCCTGTTACAATGTGTCAATGTCTTGCCCATCGACAAATCCATGCAGCTAGAGAGTTGCGTGAACAGTTTCCCATGATTGGCTGAGATCAGGACCCGGGCATTGCTTAGTCATTGATAGCTTGCTGAATCAGCCCGAAGCAGGAATTAGGGCAGCACTAGCCCCAGTGCGGCTAGCGCGGGAGACGCCCACAAGCGGAGAACGGGAATTTCTCTGCGGCCGACGGGGCGAAGTACTCGAGTTTTTTCCCTTTGCTTGTCGACCAACATTCAGCGCAGAGCCACACCATAGGAATTTGAAAGAGTTCTTTTGGAAGACTGTCCAGCAAGATGTCCAAGATCACAGTCGGTATGTGAATTTCTCTGCCTCCACGAGCCGCCTCGATCAACGATGACGAGTGCACAAGCCAAAACGTGTAACAAACCGCTGACCTGCGAATCTTTTTGTCCATCACAGCCGGAGTGCGCCAGAATGTTGAGCAGCTGCTCAACTACTCTCAGAATGAGAAGAAGAGAAACTTCCTCGAGACCGTCGAGCTTCAGATCGGTCTGAAGAACTACGACCCCCAGCGTGACAAGCGTTTCTCCGGCACCATCAAGCTGCCCACCATCCCCCGCCCCAACATGAGCATCTGGTATGTGGCAACCACCGATTGATTTTTCTCGAAGATTGGTGGAATGGAGAGGGTGTTGCGCGACAGATCTGCGCAACACGGCGATGCATAGAGGATGCGGGAACCACCAGAGTCAGAGAACAAGCAGGCTAACGGAACATACAAATCCAGTGTTCTCGGTGACCAGCACGATCTCGACCGTGCCAAGCACTTCGGTGTTGACGCCATGTCCGCTGATGACCTTAAGAAGCTGAACAAGAACAAGAAGCTCATCAAGAAGCTTGCTCGCAAGTACGATGCCTTCGTCGCTTCCGACTCCCTCATCAAGCAGATCCCCCGTCTCTTGGGTCCTGGTCTTTCCAAGGGTATGTTCCTCCCACCACCCTATTTCATGACGGTGACATGCAAATTAACGCCCACCACAGCCGGAAAGTTCCCTACCCCCGTCTCCCACGCTGAGGACTTGGCTGGCAAGATCAACGAGATCAAGGCCACCATCAAGTTCCAGCTGAAGAAGGTTCTCTGCTTGGGTGTTGCCGTCGGCAACGTTGGCATGACCGAGGATGAGCTCGTCGCCAACACCATGTTGGCCATCAACTACCTCGTCTCCCTGCTCAAGAAGGGCTGGCAGAACGTTGGTAGCCTTGTCCTCAAGGCTACCATGTCTCCTCCCAAGCGTCTCTACTAAGGGACTCTTACGCTTTGTTGCGCTGGAGGTCTAGAGGGATCATCAGGTTTGGGTTTGTATAGGCCTTAGTTGACTCTACGGGAAATGTGACCCACGACTTTATGTCCCTCAATTGCGCTCTTTATGTGCTGAATCATGTAGAATCGTAGTACATGCTGTAGACGCTCACCCGGTAACTGGATGAGGTGTGTAGAATTCGTCGATGTAATATGTTAATGTATAAATGGTACTGTACATGGAAATTCGGCTCAGGTGGTGCAGATCATCAACTTATTGCATACCCTCCATCAGATCCGTCCGGTCCAAGATCATCCCCCTCATCCCGATGAACTCGCGCAGACTTTCCCACTCCTCTCCCTCCTCTTCACCTCTCAAGTAAACGTCCTTGAAACCCCAGGCAAGCGCAACCTTGTCGAACGCCGCCCGCTCCTCCTCGCGGAGCCAGCGGTGCCGCAGTGGGACTCCCGGTTGCCAGGTCACCCGCTCCATCTGATCATTCGCGGTGGTGATCGCCAGCAACCCGACAGAGGTGACACCGCCCATGTACGCCAGCCCCGCCGCGAAGGCGATGCCCGTCGCCGTGCTGGGGTCCATCGTGTTCTGCAGGCTCCCAGCCCATGTCGCGAGGATGTAGCAGGCCACCGGCGCGGCACTCAGCCCACCCACGGGCAGAGCGGCCTTCTTGTAGGCCTTGGCCCGGCGGAACGCCGCGGTGGAGAATGTGGTGTCAATGATCGCCAGGACGAGGGAGAGGTTCCGCTGCGCGATGGCGACGTCCAGCGCTGAGTTGGCCAGCTCCAGAGGGATGGCGCTGTTGATGCTGTTGGGGTTTGCCTTGCTGAATCGCACGGGCGAACTCTTCTCTTCCGGGATCGGCTTGTTGGCGTACAAGTGGAAGATCTCCGGGAAGTGGTGGGGCTGCTGGAGCAGGACGTGGATTTTGGTGTAGGAGGCGAGGGCTTCCGGGGAGATGAAGACCTTCTCGTCGGTCAGCAGGCCGTGGACCGCCTGGCACAGCTGCTTGGATAGCTGCTTTCGGCTTTGCTTGGGTCGTGGTTGCGGTGTCTCCGCGGCCGTGGCCGGTTCGTCGAGGTCCAAGAGGGACGAGAACTCATCCGGCTCCTGCTTTGGTTGGGATTTCGTGGGTTGTGCGATTGTCTCTGCGATCTTCTCGCTGCGCTGTAGCAGTTGCTGGACGGCATCATTGGCGGGCACGGCGTCTGCCCTGCAGAGGTGGGTGCATTCTTCGGCAATTTGGGCAATGACTTCATCCAATTGCAGTCTTGTGGGTTGTTCTGCTTGGCTCGAGTTGAACCGTTTCGAGATTTGGTTCGCATGAGTCCACGAGTATTGTCTTGACTGGAATCGCTCGCGATGCACGCTTGGAAGTGCCGGGCTGGTGTTTGAGGCATAGGTCCGCGAAAGTAGCGGGCGAGGTACGGGACTAGGAGACCCTGTTTGACGACAGAAGTGACAGACCAGAGATTGGGTCTTGGATTTCTGGGCCCTCAAGGCCATTCTGTTCGTGGTAATCATGTTTGCTATCCACAATACCTCTTCGGACGTTCGAAACGGTAACGGGGGGCTTGAACAGAAAAGAAGGAAATGCGACGGATATGCGATGAGGCGGCGAGCGGTACTGCCGCATTTACTACGCGGGCGGTGGTACTGTACCTGGCGGCTTGTCTCGCCGTACTACCTGCTGTACAGCCCCCCCCCTCCAACTCCGTCACTTCCCTTACACCTTCGCCTTGTTCCCATCGTCTCCTCAAACAGGCATCCACTTTCTTTCCTTTGTCTCTATATCTCTAGTCGCAGCAGTTCTCAGATGGTATTTCTTACATCTACCGTCTGGTCCCTTTGAGATCACTACCCGCATCAACCGCAATCTTCCTATTATCAGCGTCATCCCCTCCTTGACATACAGTCAACATGCCTCCCCCTCCGCCTCCTCCGCCGCCCCCCCCCGGAGGGATGGGAGGCCCTCCTCCCCCACCCCCCCCAGGAAACCTACCAAATAGACCCTCGGGCACAGAAGCGAAGGGCCGGGTATGTGCTTGCAGCTCTTGTTTCAGACCCCATCCATTGGCTAAAATCTCTCACAGGGCGCTCTCCTTTCCGATATCCACAAAGGTGCAAGACTGAAGAAGGCCGTCACCAATGATAGATCAGCTCCTCAACTTGCCGGTGGAGGAGTAAAATCTTCAAGTCCTTCAGTGCCCGGTGCACCACCCATTCCAGGCATGGCGAAGCCTCCGGCTGGACTTGCACCTCCAGTCCCCACGGCACAGGCCGCCAATCGGCTACGGAGCAACAGCGATACAGGGTCAAGGGCGGATGCAGCGGCAGCAGCTCCAGCAGCTCCTCAGCTAGCTGGACTTTTTGCAGGGGGAATGCCTAAGCTACGCAGTCGAGGGGGTGTTGATACCGGCGCTACTCGAGAATCCCCATACATGTCTGACTCGGAAAACTCCAGGGGAGCTCCCCCGCCGCCCGTTGCGTCGGCTCCAAGACCACCAGGAGCTCGCCCTCCTCGACCTCCACTTGCAACAGATTCCCCACCGGCTCCTCCAGTCAACCCATTGGTCGCGAACCTTCGAAAACCGCCCCCTAGGCCCGCATCTCGTCCATCGTCGACCGCGTCAACTGCATCGATCAAGTCCGCCCCTGACGCGCCTCCCCGCGCACCTCCACCGTTGCCTGGTACCGCTAAGCATGCACCTCCTCCGATCACATCACGAAAACCATCGACGACCGCTCCACCCCCGCCTCCGCCTCCGCTTTCTTCAGCTAGTCCAGCTGCGCCGCCTCCCCCACCCCCGCCAGCAGCGTCAGCCCCGCGCCCACCTCCAGCGCCGGCACGGTCAACCCCTCCACCACCTCCTCCTCCACCCGCAAATGGTACTTCGGCTGCTTCCGCAGCTGTACAAGCAGCCAGAAATGCGCTCGCTCACATGCAGCATACTCCTTCTACACCACCTCCACCTCCGCCCGCTGCCTCGGCTCCTTCCGCACCTCCACCGCCGCCGCCGCCGCCGCCTCCTTCATCTGCTCCTCCAACGATGCCTCCTGCAGCAGCACCTCCACGACCAAGCTCATATGAGTCATTGGCCAGTCCACCCCCGGATCGTTCCACTCTCGATCCGAGCGCTTATACCCTCAGCAACGGCGGGCCGTCAGCGGGATCTAGCCCTCGGAGTCCAGGCATGCACGGCGGAATTCGGATTGATGATCATAGGTTCAAATACCAGAGCGAAGGACTGCTGCCCAAACCCCGACCCTTCGTTGGTGGTGCGCGGCGGTATCGGGCTGGGCGAGGGAGCAGTGTGCCATTGGACCTTAGCGCATTGAGCGGCTGAGGGGAGATTCAGTGGTCATAGTTAGATAACATGTATGAATTGAACATTTTTTTTCAAACGCATTAGCTATCCTCGCATCGTTTGGTCCCACTTGCAAGAAGATGTTAAGCAAAAAAGCTGCCAGGCTTTGTAGTTTTCTGTTCATGCATCCGTCTCTGCAATTGACAGGCAATAGCGTCGCCTTGCTTCGACTAGCATTTAGGTTGTCGGATAGAGTCTAGAACAAATAACAAATATACTCTAGATGCAGCAATGCGCCGTCCCAGCTCACAGATGCCGATCACGGTATGACGAGTCAGAATTCGTAGATCTTCGGAATCTGATAAGCAAAGCACGGGACGGCCTCACGTGACACGATGCCATAGCGAACGGAGCAGCAGGTCGGGATCAACAGTCGCTGCCATCTCTCTTTAAACAGATGAACCCTGATTACTCGCCTGACTTTGGACTGACACCGCAATCGACCGTCACCAACACAGCATCCCAGGTTGTTCGAACCCTTACTTCGGCTTTCATTCACTCTAAGGAATATACTGAGGTCATTGCTCGGAACTCAGACGCCCTATCCGCGCGACACGATTACTCTACCTGTTTTTCCGTCGCTATCTGTATCTTGTTGGAGCTCTGAGATACGCGCCGGCCATATCTTCTCTCGAGGACACCAAACTTCACGATCTTGCGCTTCATTGAGATAAGAGAAAACTGTCTGGGAGCTTGAGCAATTGCCCTTCTCTTCCCGTTGCGATCCCGCCAGCTCTCGGGCCAGCCACATCTTCGCCATGTCTTTACAATCATACATCAACAGTAAGTATCTAGCTTTGTCCGTGCGACGGAGAACATCTCTGAGTCGCATGGGATTCCTTTTGCCCATGAGTGTTCCGCCGTTGACCTGGGCATGTGAGATGGCCATCCGAACTGACCAGACTGCTTGCGTACACAGAAAAAATCCTGGTCTTGACCGTCGATGGCCGGACACTGCTGGGCACCCTTCTGTCGACGGATCAGCTGACCAACCTGGTCCTCCTTGATACGATTGAGCGCATCATCCGGACGCCCGATGACCCAGAACCCAGCTCGCAAATCGAACACGGCCTCTATCTGATTCGTGGCGACAATGTGGTATTATGCGGGGAGGTCGACGAGGCTATTGACCGTGACATCGACTGGACCAAGGTCAAGGGCGAGGTGGTTAAGGGCACGAAGAATGCATGAGAGAGGGAGAAGACACCTTGGCCGCTGGACAAAGCTCTTTCTTTTTAAAAACCAAATCGCATTCGACACCAAAAAAAGGAAAAATTTCTTAAAAAAAGGCCCGCGAATGGACAATCTACTGGCTGGATTGTTTTTTTTTTTAATGTTTTCACGGCAAGCAAGAAATGGAGACGCGTTTCGCTTGATTGTGGTGTGAAATTGACGTGGACGAGTTCGGCGTGACGTGGTCACGAACGAAGGCTCCCCCCCCCCGAGTACGTCTGGGGTGGCGATGCCTTCAGCATTGCCATGCGCCGCATCAGCGGCAATGCCATTGCAGAGTAAGCCCCCCCCCCCCCCCCCCTTTTCTTCCTTCCTCCCCTCTTTCGCCCTCTCTTCTTCCTCTTTTCCCCGCTTTTCTATCCAGTTTCTTTCTCATTCTGCGTGGGTGTTGGCGCTCGGGAGGACAATGTGCTAGCCGGTGGTGCCTGAGGTTGTTGCGCTTGTGGCTTTCGTTTCCCGGTACCTGGTACCTTTTGCGCGATGGGGGGGCATTGGGTGGGTCATGCTATGCAATGCATTTGAATCGGCCCGCGTTGAAACTCTGAATGATCCGTTTCGGAGGGGATCTTCTATGATGAGAAGGGAGTGTGACTACGGACTAGACATGCAGGTGCATTGGACGCTCGGGATCTTCAATCCGAAGGAGGGGGCTTGGAATGCAATCTTTGTGGTCGGCCGACTTCTGTGGGATCCTTTGGGGGCTCGGGATTTTCTGAAGCAGAAGGGAGCAGCATCCAAAACTCGGAACGATTCGCATGGGATACTGGGAAGGGGGAGGGGAGGCAGTTTGAGAACTGGACCGTGTCTCCCTTGTCAGCCATGGCCAGGGATTAATGAGATCGATGCCCATCTGATCCTGGATCCTAGATGATATGAGGTCGGGGCCTCTCTTTCCACCCGGAAAGCTTTTCTTTCCAGCCGAGGACATGGGCCACGAGCGGGCGAAAGTGGATTTGACACATAGAGGACCAATTAACATAAGACCATTCGTTTAATTACCTGTACATGACTTGATGAATTCGACAATGTGATTGTTCAAGTAAGAAGCGACTGCGTCTGGACTACTATGGGGTGGTTATTGTTGGGAAAGGAGATCAAGAGGTCCCCCGTGTCTAAGTAAATAAAGGCTGTGCAAAGACACTATGGATATTTATTTGACTGCCTGAAATGAATCCCTCACTTGTCGGGAGACTGTCTTAAAAGGGGGAGGTTAGGTTTTTTGGTTTTTTATTTTTTTTTATTCTTTTGAATTTTGATTTTTCCAGTGATGGATCCCCCTGGCGAAAAGATGGAGGGAGAGAGAAGTTAAAGAAGTGAAGAGTTCCATTTAATGCAAGAGATCTTTTAACCTTATTTCTCTCCTTTTGTCTTTGTCTTTTGTATAGTTCCAAGTACGGGGTACAGTTACACGCCTCCCATTTCCATTCTTACTATTGTATTATTATACACCCACCCACTTTCTTTCCTTCTCTTCATCTATTGCACATAGTTCCAATCCAAATTAATCAACGTGAATCCTTTTAACACACACACACTCTCTCTCTCGCTCGCTCTGCCGCTGGCCCCGCCCTTGCCAAGTGCGGCCCAACACCGGATCGTTTCGTTTCCAATTTCCCCTGACGGGAACTGTTCCATCCGCCGCCGCCTCTTCTTCCTCTCCAACCAACTTCCCCTTCTCACTTTCTCACCTTTACTCAACTCGACTCAACTCAACTCCTCCTCCTTCTCCTACCTACCTTCTACCTACCTCCTCTCCTCCTCCTCCCCTCCCTCCTTCCTCTCACTGCCTTGACTTTATCTCTCTTCTTACTCTTTGGAGATATCCTCTTTGTGTCGCCACTCTCACCTCATCTTCCCCGGATCATCCTGCAACCTCGAAAACCCAACCACCTCCCCGGTCCCCTTTACCGATTAGATCCCCGTATCCACTCGCAATTCCCTTCCTCGGTCGCTGGGCGACCGCCACCTCTGCCTACCCCGGTCCACCGCCGCGATATCTCTCGCCCTTCTGTCTTTCTCCTCGATTGAATCAGGCGCCCTTCATGTTGTTGCGACCGTGCCAGCACTCCTCGGGTTCGACTTGTCTTTACCCGCCATCCAATTGGTCCACTTGAGTACTAGGTTGCAGCAAGCATAATCTCCCGCCCACAGCCTCATTTCGTGACCGACAGCACCGACTCTCCGTCACTCCGACACCTCACCCTCTTCTCGACACCTCCCTCCTTCCTCTCCCCTAGATCGCCCTCACCTTCCTCCGGTCTTAGTTGAACGCTATTCAGTGCTCAGCCCAGAATGTGGTTGTATCGGGGCGCTCAGTCGGCCGTTTTCTACTATGCCACCTGCACACCCTGCGCCGAGTCGTCCTACCGTCGGAATCGAATGAAAGAAGCCGCCCGGTCCAAGCGCGAACAAGAGAAAGTCGATACCATTGTTACCGACCAACCCAAACCCTTCAGACAACCTACCCCCTTCAGTACAAATCCAGCATGGGCCGAGGAGATCGCTCTAGGCCCCGGTCCGCCTGCGCGCAGAGGAGGTCGAACCCATCGTCGAAAGGAATCATGGAATACGGATGCGGTATCGACGGAGTCACTCCATGAGTCAGGTAGTACAACTTCCAGAAAAGACAAACTCAAGAACCCATTGGGCGAACGGTGGAGTCGCATGCGGTATCAACGGGAAGACGAGCCGTTATGGGGTCAAGATCTGGAAGTGAAGGGCTCTTCCGTGGGGTTGTCTGGTGGAGGGCGCCCGGATGAGGGCTCTAACAGCAAATATTATATCGCTCGAGTGCCCCCGGTCAATGATCTGCATCCCCCGATCGTTAGTGGGCCCAAGAGCCGGGCGGAGACGCGGTGGATGTTGCAGCCCCCACCTAGTGCCAGGGTTATGGCCGGCAAGGAGCGCATCGGTGACTCCGCGTCCAAGAATAACAACAAGTCGCCCGATGTGCAAACAGATCAAAAGCAACCGGTTGCGACCGCACCAGCGCAGCCCTCGATCAAAACACAACCGATCGAGAGGAGTGCTTCCCGAGCTAGAACGTCAGTGATGGCACCCGATGGATGGTACGATCCGAGAGCCGACGGGTTGGAGGAAGATGGTGACGACGAGTCACCTCAGCATGGACGTGACGAGGCTCGCTGGGTCATCACGCCCTCGCTACACTCTCGCTTCGAATCGTGCTCATCGCTTTCGTCCGATGCGGACTCGGAGGCCGAGTCCCCACGAGTGTCTTTGCAATCGCCGCAAACGCCGACCTCGCGGCCCGGTTCCAAGGCGACTCAAGATAGCGGTAAACACTTCCCAACGATCGCCAAGACCATGTCCACTTTGCACCCGCAGCACCATGAGAGCAATAACAAAGTTGAGATGCTGCATCTGGAAATCAACGACTCGCCTGACGATATCGCCTTAGGCCAGCTTGAGCGCCTACGGCCTTGGCGTTGGAGTATGGACATTTGATTTCTCCTCTGTCTCCAATGCAAGCCGATTTGGGCAATAGTCCACGAATCATTCAACCCATCACTTTGTCCTTTGTCATGGAAGCCTGTTTTGCGATGTTCGATTTTTTTTTCTCTTCTTTTGGGTAGCAGAATACCCCCTTTCGCTGTTGAGTTTTGTCCTTTGTGTCAGTCATGATTCCTGGCGTTGGCAGCAGCGAAAAAGCGTTTCCACCTTTTCTCGATTTTCTTTCTTAATTCCCCTTGCATGTTCCTTCTGTTTGTCTGTTCCCCTGTGATGCATCATCAGCGAAACCGCAACCGAGTCCCCCTCCGCCGCGCTGTACCCCGCGTTGAACAAAGTTCCAGATTGTGCTTAGTGTCTGGTTGGCTGGGCCAGTAGACATTAGGCAACACATACACATACACATACAGTTCATGGGCACGAAAGTACATAGATGAATCACTCATGTTCATCATCATTGTCCATTGCGACCAACTTGAGCCCCAATCATTTTGTTGAGGATTATCTTTGCACAGAGTATTTATCAGTGTTTTATGCCTCTCCCCACTGTCTTTTTGCCCACTGTCCCCTGACCGCATTCCTTATTTTTGCTTTTTTTTCTTATTGCCCAGTTTGACCATTGACCATTGACCATTGACCATCCATTGTCTCTCCTTTCTGTGATTCGTCCGTCCACTCTCATTTTGTTTTTGTTTTTTTGTATCACATTGTCTTATGACTTTCCCCGCTACCCACCCCTTCTTGTACACTAATTTATCCTAATACATACCTCATCTGAGTTTTCTTTCTTGTAGGATGCCGGTATATATCTAGAAGAGCTTTGAAGTAATAGGGTGTATCCCAATCCCCCACGGCTGAAATCTCATCTAGATCCCTCCTGAGAGGCAAAGTATCATATCCATTGATTCGGCAATTTCCCTCAAATATCCGAATGAGGGTTCTTCCGCCTGACCTGTACTGTACCAATCTACGATGTTCCCGGTAGTTATCATCTGTCGATGTTGTCTCCAGGCCAATCTTCCTTTCGGGTAGTCGTGGTGTGTGCGGTGATGACTTATAGCTTTGCTTATCCTGGAAGCTGTAAGGGCTAGGGGGGGGGAGGCACTATATCTTCGGGAATAATGATAATAATCTACCAACACACATGCATATTTAAATATATATACTGCCACTCGACTTTCTCCCCCCGGGTATAGCGCCAGCGCCAGCAGCATTAGCATCAGCAGCAGCAGCAGCAGCAGCAGCAGTCAAAATAAAGCCTTCCGATCATATGAGATAGTAGCCAGCCACAGTACACTGCAGGGTATGAGGATCCTCCAGCGGCGGATTGCGATTGTGATTGACCCCACAAAGGGACCCCGAGCCGGCTGTTTTGTGTTCCCTTCCCCTCGTTGCGGCGTAGCAGGATTGATTGCACGCGATGCGTTTACATTTACTATGTACTGTACTGTATTGTAGTTGGACTGGACTGGACTGGACTGGACTGGACTCGACTGGATGGCTTCCAAGCTCCGCGTCTAGTATATATCCACTTTGCAGTATAGTGCATGCATGGCCGATGGCTGGCTCGCTACGCCCAGTCGGGCATGGCGCGGGTTATATACTTGGTATAACTAAACGATCGCCAACCTTCTCCCTCGAGGTGCTACTTTACTCAGCCAAAACAGGATCTGAGCCACGGTCTAATCTCCCCAATCTAGAGACGATGCAGAGTGCAACGTCGGGAAAACAAATAGATAATAAAATTGGTGAACATTTTCATCATGCACAGATAGCTAAATCGAGCTGATGAACATTGGATCCGAGTTCTTCCTGTTTTTTTTTTCTGTTATCGAATCTGAGGGTTGGTTTATCTTTGGGGTTGCGAGACCATAGTGGTGGTATTCGAGGGTGAATGAAGTAGGAGAAGCAGAGCTAAAGAGGACAGGGACTGAGTGTTTCTTTTCCAAGAACAATCAAAGACGAAGGTATTGGAAAAGAGAAGGGAAAGCAATTCGTATAAGCTAAGAGTCGTCTCCGAGGCCGGGGAGAGCCCTCGTGTCATACAAGCACGCACGTGAGCCGTATTCGAACGGCAGCGGAGTCGTCGACGTCGTTGGTCTTCGTCGTTCCGTCGTTTAGTAGACTTTCTTCTTCTCGTCCATGCTCAGCTGACCGGGTCCCATGTTGACCAGAAGCAGGAGTCCGCCGCTATTGAGTAAATGGATATGTTAGCCTGTGTGGTGGATAAAAGTCAGAAAAAAAGCGAGGGAGGGGCTCGTACACAATAGACAGGATCTGGAAAAAGTCGTACTTGGCGAAGTCCTTGTGAGGGTGGTGGGGGTGAAGCTAGTCATCATGTCAGTTGCTGGAGATGCAGCATTGGAGGAGAACATACAGTCCAGAAGTTGTTGACCAGCACGTTGAAGACGCTCAACAACACAACCAGAATGATAGCGCTCCACTTGGCCTTGAATCCAACAATGACCATCACACAAGCGACGAAGCCGAACAGGCTGACCAGAACGCGCCACATGCTCCACTGGCCTGAGAAAACGAACCCGATGAAGAGGAAGATGAGCAGGACGCGACCGGCGAACTGGACGTACATCTTGCGGTCCTTCTCATCCAGCTGGGGCAGACCGGCAGGGACAAACTTCTTGCGCACCCACGAGTCGGAAAGCACCATGAGCAAACCACCGATCACACTCAGGTTGCGAAGGAAAAAGTTGAGGTCGAAAATCAATCCGTATCCGAGACCCTGGGTGACAACGACGGCCAACAAACCCGCGACCGCAAACTCAGTGTGCTTGCGGGCGATGACCAAAACCGAGCAAACCGACATGGCGATCATGTTGACGAGGAGGAAAGTATGCGTAATTCCCCATGGTACTAGTGCGGAGAGAGACGGGTTAGTGACGTTCTTGCGTTTCACAGTCTCCATCCGTGGTGCTACCCCATAGCCGGCAGGAGAGGGACGAAGCCGAGGTGTGAGCTTACTTTTCCGGTAATCACGCAGGTACAGCAGCTGGTCGTTCCATTGCGTGATCATACGCAGGCTGTCTTCGAGGAAGGTGACCACGATCAAAAACCGACCAATGGCTGGAAGATATCTGGAGAGCAAGAAGCCACGGTGTCAGCGAGATACGTCTTCTCTGGATGCGCGGATCGGTCGGAGGCTCCTTTCGCTGCCACAGGTGCGAGCACACAAGGCATTGGAGCAGTAGAAACCAACGGAGGATCACATACGGCTTAACAGGATCGGCCATTGTGTCGAGCCAATCCTCAATCTTGCTGGTCTGCTCCCGGATAGCATCCAAAGGACTGGGGTCGCTCGTTGCCTCTGCTCGGCCAGGACCGCCAAAGGGGTTCTGGTGGCCGAGGTTGTAACCGGCAGTGCCGCGAATTTGCGCCATGGCGAAGAATATGGGATAGATGGAAGTGGTGAGGAGAAGAGTAGAGGAAGGGAAGGAGGAAGAAAGATGAGGTAGTTAAGTTGAACCCCTCGGAAGGTTGTAATGGGGGGTGGAAAAACAAACAAGGGAACCCGGGGGAAGGGATTCGGGAGTAGCTCCAGGCGCACTAGGCGGGAAGAATAGAGGTAGATGAAGTGTAGTGGGAAAGGAAGGAAAAGGAAGAGGAAGAAGAGAAGAAAGAAAGGAGATGAGGAAGAGGAGAAGAAGAGGCGGAAGAAGGTGATGGATCGAATAGCAATCAATAATAATTGGGGATGGAACGAATGAATAGTGGCTGCAGCAAAGCACAGTCGGAAGTCAAAGTTGGGTCTCTTTCTTCTTTCTTGCTATTGAGACATTGAACGAACAGGACGACGGACTACCAACAACCAACAAGCACAGGGTCAGTACTCCGTAATGGAAATAATAAGGCCACGATGACCGGAACTCATCACTAGTCCCAATGGGGACTAGCGGAGCCGTCGGAGTTGCGGGCGTGACGCCATTCAGATCCTTACGTAAGCCAAATGATCTCCAGTTGACCCCTTCTCTCTATCTTCCTCACTGGCCTACACCTGCCGGGCCCGCATTCTAGAAACCATGTATACCTTTTCATTCCCTGCTGGAATCTCCGGCGGAAGAAAAGGAAAACATTTCGATCACACCCCTTTTTGCCCATTACCATTAATCTTGAGATTGAGACACCCCCCTCCATTAAGGGGAGGCCCTTTCTTCAACTGAACCACTGAACCACTGAACCACTGAACAACCCCCCCCACACACACCAAAAACAGGGACCGCTAATCTTTTAGTTCTGCGGCGGGAGATCCGTCGTCTGAGATTCGAAACACGAAACACGAAACACGACCTAGAACAAAAATAGGTCGAACCAACTGTCTCCACGATCACTATGACCCTTCCGTGGAAGAAGGATCCTGCAGCTCAAAAAGAAGAACCAGAGAAAAACAAAAGCGGACAATTCAAGGTTACAGCTGTAGAATGTTTGGGAAGCTTAAGATCTCGCCGAGGCGCAGCAACAAGCCGATCGCCAGGGTCCGAGTCCCAAAGCAGCAAAACCGAAACCCTTCCCTTCCTATAAATACCCTGAAAAATGAAGTAATCAATCTTCTATTAAAGACCAGGTTTCCCCTTCACAGCCTGGGTGTTTTATGATGAGCCTTGATTTTTTTTTGGTTTGATAGCAACTGGCTCTCCTCATCCAAGATCCGCTATGACATACAGAACACCAAAAGTCGAGCCAATGCGCCCCGTCCAGACTGGCCAGACGATGGTCTCAAGAAGACAATACACCAGATCGTATCATTGCGATCAATTATCAATGGAAGATACAAGGTACAAGGTATTCTAAGGAGATAGGTAGACAAAAAGGATAAGAAAAGGGGCACATCAAGAGGGTAGAACCGAGCATAACAGGTGAAGATATAAAGGAAAAAAGGTACATGGCTTTTGAAGAAGAACGGAGGGATTTTCGAAAATATTCGGCCAATCGAGGGTCTCCGTCGTCGCAGCCATGTTGGGGTGGCTGGAACAGAGCAATGTGCCAGATACATGCGAAAAGTTTTCGATGAAGAATAATATGTCCCAAACGCCAAAGCCATGAGTATAAATACAGCCCACGGATTAGTTGGATCCGGCTTGTGTCCGAAGGGCATCTTGCACATAGCCGGGATTTCATCTTCTGCGCCGGAAAAGGACCTGCTTAGGCAGCCCAGTCGGAGTCGAGAGGGTGTCCCTTCTGGTTGGAGCGGAGAATATCGGGGAGATAGGTGGGAGTCACCTTCACCTTGGGTTCAACGGGGGCAGGAGAAGGAGCAGCAGGGGTAGGCTGGCTCTCAGAAGCACTGACTTCGCTCTCGTCCGTCTTTCCACTCTTCTTCTTGATCTTCTTGCTGGAGACGGTGGTCCACTGGTCCTGCCCGTTCTCCGCACCCAGAAGGCGCATCTGCTCCTCCTCGGAGGGAAGACCCTGATCCCATTCCTTGGCAGGCTTGGAGGCGGGGGCAACTGGCTCGAACGTATCCAAGAGCTCGACCTTGGGGGCCACGGCGGGCTGAGAAGTACCGTTGGTGGCGCTGGGAGCAGCCTTGGTCTGCCAGGCGTTGGTCTGGGGTGCAGTAGGAATCGACTTGGCCGCCTCGCGACGCTCAGCTTCGCGGGCCGTGTGGAGCTGCTTCTCGAGCAACTTGCGTCTCTGCTCCTCGGCCTCCTGAACCTGCTGCTTACGAGCCTCGTTCTTCAGTCGCTGTTGGCGCTGCTTCTTGCTTTCAACCTGCTTGAAAGACTGTGTCTTCTTCTTCTGAGCCTCGGCCGGTGCGGCGCCGGTGACGCGGAGAACGGAGGCACCAGGGGCCGGAGCCTCGAGCATGTCGGAGATGTAGCCAGCGGAAGGAACAGTGGCGTTCACAACAGGAGAACCAGCGGGGGACAGGTCGTCGTCGGCATCAGCACCGGTGGTAGACGAAGTGCGGGTGGAAATACGCGAAGCCGAGCGCTCGTCGTTTTCGAGCTGGGGAAGGGCGCCCTTGCTCTTCTTCTTCTTGGCAGGCTTGCTGGTAGGAGCACTGGTTTGAGCCGGAATACCGTTCTTCACCGCATTGAAGCGCTTGGCCAACTCCTTACGGTCAATCTCCTCATCCTGCTCCTCAACTTGCGAGCCCGTAGTTTGAGCTGCAGGCTGCTCCTCAACAGATTTGCTGGGTGCGGGGGAGGCTTCCGAGGACTTCTTCGTCTTCCGCTTCTGTTTCTTCACCACCGGAGCACTCTCGACTTTCTCTGTGATAGCCTTGATCGGGGCCTTGACCTTCGGGGAGGGGCCGTTGTAGTACCATCCAAGGCCACCTGCCACCACGAGCAGGAGAGCCCAGCTGATATAAGGATTCATCATCGTTAAAAGCTATGATCAAGGCGATTGTCAGTTTTGGTGGAAGTGCAGGAGCGAGGTTGGAATGTCAGGACGTACAGTCACTAATTTTAGTTCTTGAAGTACGTAGCAAGAGTCGTGAAATTCAAAAATAGACCCGTCTCAATGCAATATGTGAATGACTGAGCTGGCGGTCGTCAAATTTTCCGTTCGCGTGTCCGGAATCGTTGAGAGAAATAGGTGAAAATAGTTCTGGTGATGGGTACCAGACGCTAGGAATTCAGTTCGAGCACTCGCGTTAATTCGGTGTACTCTTTGTTACCAAATTGCGACAAAAGCGCAAGGCGAAGAGTTGTTGGTTGGCAAAGGAGAATGTTGCCGCAGTTGCGCTGAAAGGCCAGATTTCCCCGGAGAGCTCGAATGGCGACTCTAGCACTACCTGAGACCTATGATATCAGATGGTGATGGGGGATATTCGAAGTTCGAATTGGAGACCTCAGCCGCGGATCGATGGCCTTCACACAGGACGTTGAGCCTAGGGTAGTTAAACGCTTCGGTCGGCGCTTCGGAGTTGAAAGAGAAAGGTGAGGTCGGTCGCGAGGACGGAGCAAGGTGAGGTAAAGAGGTAACGGGATGGTATCACCGAAAGACCATTGAAGCACCCGTCAGCCGAAGACTGAAGGGCGGGCGACAATGGCTGGCTGGATATATAACAAAGGTATGGCAGAGAACGAGTTGAAATTGAGGAATTTGGGGAGAGAGAAGAGGAGTGTTGGAAGGAGGAGGCGATGGTGGGAGCAAAAGAGGACACGGATTGGAGAGATGAAGGGGTGTTGTCGACTCGGCAAGTGATGAGGAATAAATTACCAAAGCAGCGAGATGGATGAACTACGCAGGTACTCCGTAATTGTCTCTCGTATCGGTATCAAACAGCGGTCCTTGCACGCGCTGGATGAGAGACTCCACTGCTAAGAGTAGATTGTCAAGTAGCGCAGGATCTTGGAGGAGTATTCTTGCCTGATCATCATCTGGACCGTGATTCAGGAGGTTTTTTATTTTCTTTTAGGGAGGGATAGATCACTTATAAACCTGACCCAGTTGCAGTCATCACACGGGCGGACATGCCTGTGGCGCATTGATGAAAGGATTACCCCATATTTCTACTTTCTTTGAGCCAGCCAGTCAGCCAGTCATCCAGTCTGTAACTGCTGGTAAGTTAACAGAGAGAAGGGTAATCTCTTTACGGAGTTCTACTAGCCACCTCCTGGGGTTGAACAAATTAGCCTTGGAAGACCAGCGCGAATCAGACCTCTTCCTCCCCTGTCGCCGGACCAGTGACCGTGACGTTGACAGACCGAATGGTCTCACAGCATCCCCTGGTGTGGAGGACGGTGTTCGACACTGGCGCGGGGAAAGATCTTCCCCATGCGTGACATTGGGTTGGCCCCTCTGGGCTGCAATGTTGCGTTGCGCCTCTATCAACGGCGTGTCATGGTCAGAAGTGACCTTGAAGCCAGCCCCCCTGCGATTCACAAGATAGATTGACTTTCTAAATGGCAATGTCTCCTAGGGACTCGGGAGGGAAAGGATAACTAGAACTAGACTAGACAAAGTATCGAGGTAGAACTACCGAGCTGCTGAAAGGAGGCCCCGGTATGTTACCAACTGGTAGAGGCAAAAATACAGGGGTAATACCACTCGCTGCAGGCCATTCCGCCTTCCGAACAGGCCACGTCTCAGCTTAGAATCGTCCAGACCTTCGGGAAGAATCTCCGTCGGCCTGGACGACCCCAGACAGCTACCCTAGTTATTCGGTCAAAATTACCACGGTGGGTTGAGAGCGGTCCAACCTGTCCTGCTTCCCCTTCTTCACCTCAATGCTACACAATAGATGATTGGACATGTCAAATCACATTGAGGACCTGTCTGATTGATCTGTATTTATACCGGGATGGTGAAGGATGGCGCTGAGACAGTCTGCTCGGTATATGTTCAAAAACCACGCAGCTAATATCATCAATTGTAACTTATCGTGTGCTTCAAATATTCATCCAAGTGACCTACCTACAATGGACCTTCAACGAGTCATACTACCGCTCATTCTAGATGAGTATCAGGCTCATGATGCTGCTGATTTAGTCAATCTTTAATGTACTCTCGCAGACCCCCGGCCCTTAAGGGTTGACTAAGCCCTTCTTTATCGACAACCGCGGTAGTGGAGCACGAGTGATAAGACTCGGGACCAGCCAAGAACCATCCCACTTCCCCTCCATCCTTTGCATCATCGCAATTTTCCTCCCTCAACATCATCATTTTGACAAGGTTGACCGAACTGAAACCGTTCGCAGAAGCTGTAGGCAGTGCATTCGAAGTAGACTATCCACAGAATGGCTCCCAGAAAGATCATTATCGACACCGATCCTGTATGATATAATTGATTCGTCCCAAACCACAGCTGCTGTCTCGCCGTCCTTCGATGTCTGACTAGCTTAATCAATTGTATAGGGAATCGATGATATCCTTGCCCTTCTCCTGGCACTGTCTGCTAAGCCAGAGGAAGTCGAAGTACTCCTGGTCTCGCTCACTTTTGGCAATATTGAAGTGAGAAGGTAAAACACCATCCCCGAAACCAGCTGTTGCGCCTACTGACTTTCCAAGCTGCCTGAAGAACGTCGTGTCCATGTTTCACATCCTTGAGCGGGAGATGAAATGGCGTCGAGAGAAAGGTCTGCCCGAAGGTTACGGCGCCCTGCGCAACTGTCCTCCTGTCGTCGCTGTGGGAGCGGAAGATCCCTTAGAGGACCAGAAGATGTTAGCAGATTACTTCCGTACGTGTCTGAGCTTAGAGTCGAAATTGAATGAAACACTGACCACTTGACTAGACGGAACGGATGGTCTCGGTGGAATTCACACCAGCGTGAGCAGGGCGCATGTCTCGTTCCTCACCCGCCAATTCACTAACGCAGTGCTTGCAGCATCCGCACCTGTCTCCCCAGGAAACCTGGGAGCATCTGTTCGACCCATCCAACGATCCCAACGAGATTGAGCCAGTCCCAACTGGCGATTCCGCCAACCGGCTGTTTATTCCTTCAAAGCGTCCCGCACATGAAGAGATTCTCCGCGTTCTGTGCGAGAATGACCCCGACACCGTCACTATTGTGGCTGTTGGGCCCCTCACTAACCTGGCCATCGCCTCTGCAAATGACCCAGAGGCTTTCCTTAGGGCCAAGGAAGTTGTAATCATGGGAGGAGCTGTGAACCAGCCTGGAAATGTATGCTTCTGTGCCGCCCCAAGAATCCGGAAATGTACCTGCTGTATGCTAACGTAAGCCGATCAGGTCACCCCTGCGGCTGAATTCAACGCCTATGCCGATGCAGTTGCTGCTGCCCGTGTCTACGCCCTCACGTCTCCTTCTCCCCGGAGTACGATGCCCCCAGGCACGAGTCTGCCAATCTACCCCGCTACTCTCAGCAAACAGCTCACTCTTCGCACCTTTCCCCTCGACATCACTCTCCGGCACGGGATGACCCGCGGTCAATTCCGGAAGGCCATCACACCGCTGCTGGAATCCGGCTCCCCACTCGCCGAATGGGTGTCAGCTTTCATGGCCCACACCTTTCAGACCCTGGAGAGGCTTCACCCGGGCCACGAGGGCGACAAGGCCGACCTCAGTCTCCACGATCCGGTGTGCGTGTGGTATGCTTTGACCGCGGATGACGAGGGGTGGAAGCCGTCCGCAACCTCGCCGGAGGATATTCGAATCGAGACCACCGGCCAGTGGACGAGAGGTCTATGCGTGGTGGACCGCCGTAATCGCCACCGGATCGACGGCGAGGAGGAGAGCTCCAACGACCATGGCCTGTGGTTGAGCGCGAGGGCAGGAAACCGCGTTTTGAGGATGGATCACTCCCCGGTGGAGAACACCTTTGGGGATATCCTTCTCGAAAGGATCTTCAACTGAGACGAATAGACCGCGGCGATGCGTTCAAGAATCTACATTCCAAGACATCCGAGACGCCAGTATATAGCCCCCTATATAGTGTTAAGAGCTTTTTTTTGCAATAGAAGTTTAAACACACGAGCAAACTGGTTTGCATGTGCCCATGACAGGAGGCGGACGAGCCCAAGGTGTTTAAATAGACCCCCGGCTAAAAGTACTGAGTATGATGGCCGCGAGCGTCCGTCCTCCTCTGCGTCCCCCTTCTTTTAACCCCGACCCGATCAAGAATAGCCCCGGACTCCATCGAGAAGAAATCCGCCGGCAGGTCCGAGGATCATAAGCCCCGAGATGAGGCTTCGTGACAAGACCATTGCATCGCCAAAGCCCCGCATTATCAGTCCAGCGGACATGTCAGCTTTCCTGGTGCAGACAAGTATGTTCTACTGAAAATATTCATGCGAGTCTCCTCCCCAATAAGACGCCAATGAACACGGAAATACAGCACTGTTGCAACATCGAAGGATCAGCTCCAAGATGAAGTAGAAACACTGGCTCGAGCCTGGTGCAGACTTAAGGTATTCGAAAATACCTATCCCTGAGTAGATACTGGACTGGACTAATCCGGGAGTAATGGCACATGTCCACGGTCCACTCACCCCCTACCTTCTGGTCCACGGTTCTCCCCGCTCAGCTTGTGAAACCACTGATTGAGAACAGGAGGTGCACGTGCTTGGATGCCAGGTCTGGACGGGATTGAGACCCTGGCCGGGGTCGGAACATTTTCCAGCGGGCTGACATCCTGCGCTTCCCCTTTGCCCCCCTCCAGGTCCAACGTCAACGGGCGCTCGGGTGAGCGGTTGATCCCATGCAGGAAGTACGGATAAATCCGGAGACGATGGTGTGCACGGGCTTATGAGTGGTAATGAAGGTTCGACATTGCTATGAGTACATGTGTGTGGGTGTGTGTGGAGTAGCTATGGATGAACGTTGCCTTTGCCACTGGCCATCGATTACGTTCCATCTTCCCTTGAATTGGTATGCTGTCTTGAGAGAAAGATATGTCTTACTCTGTATGATCGTCTCTTGCATCATGATCCTTGATTTCCTTTTGCTCTGAGATTTTCCAGCGGGGGTGAAGGTCTTGGGAGAAGTATCTCGTGCCCTAGTAGGGGAGAGTGAGGTCGGCATGTTGATGGAGTCGTTCATCGACACCAATTAGCATTGCCTCTGCATCAGCGTGGGCTAGCAAGCCAGATAAGATGCTTTCTTCCCCAATTTCCCCTCATTTCCCGCTGCACTGGACGACGAGTGGAGTGGAACCTAGACATAGGGTACGGCACAAGACTGCATACCGTCCACGGTACTTCCTCGATCATCATCATCATCATCGTCATCGGCATCATCACCACTAGTAGAT